GATTTAACTCCTTAAGATTTGACGTCACCTACCAGGAGCCCTGTTACCTATGGGATCTTGCACATATGAGCAGGATCCTCTGAGAAGAAAAGTAGATCGAAAGGAGAGAGCAACACAAGGTCGGGAGCCATCGCTCCCACGTGGTCGCCCGTCCGGTTCCCACCGCCCGCGGCCGCGAGCATAGGAGCTCTCCAGCGGCGATGGGAGCGTAGGCAAAAGGGAGGCGGACGGGGTAGCTCCCGCGCGCCGGGAAGACAGCGCACAAGAGCTACACATGGAACCGCCGGAGTCTTTCTGCGCTGTCGAGGCAGGAACCGCTCCCCGCCGACCGAGCGCAAAGGAAAGGGAATTGGGCTGCAGAGGCAGCAAGGGAGGAGGGAGAGAAAAAGGAGGTAAGGAAGGGGAACACCCCTATGGAACCCTAAAACAAGCGGCATGTACGCCCAGATTGACTTGATTAAAACAAGGTAACATGGAATAAAATGAAAATACATATAGTGTACAAACGGAAACATACACATAATTGCAAATATAGGTAAAAACCTAAATAGAAATAGAAGCAAAAACCTAAGTCTAAACATAGGATTAAACAAAAGTATAAATAAGGAGAAATCAGTATAAACCACCAACACTCCTATAGAAGCAGGAGGCAGTGGTACTCTGACCTGAACTCATGCAGAGCAGCAAAGAAAGAGGAAGTAGTTGGTTGGGAGGAACCTTTTATGAATTCCTGACTTTTTTGTCTTTGGTGTTTTTCTCTCTGTGTTAATGTGCTGCTGTGGAGTTCTAGTAAAGACAGACTTAAGCAGATATGAAGCCTCCTGTCATGTTATAAAATTGTGCACTCACACTTCAATTCAGGTCCAACTTGTACAACTGGGTGGAAGAATCCATGCTTACGGGTGGTGCTGGTACTTCAGATGGTCCTTGTTGTAAGAGGTATCCTCATAGGAATATAAAAAATGTATAGTGTAGTTAGTATATTGGGTTAGATTGCAGGGGTATTTCTATATATATGATGCACTCACATATTGTGGAGCCTAAGTATTGTCTCCAGAAATAGAGCGTAAAGTGGTATAATCTCCACTCAAAGGTATAGGTGTTGTCGGTCTCTGTGGAGATATATATATAGTGTGCATTGTAGGAATGGAGTATAAAGTACAATAAACAAAATAAAAACCTACTCACATGCTTTAGAGCAAATTAAGGTTTTCTCAATCCAGTATGCTTAGGTGGTGTTAACCACACCAAGGATATATAACCCAGGAATCTAACAGCATGAAATCAGGTCCAATAAAAAAGTACTTTTATTATTAAAAAAACAACAATAAAATAAGTGAATTAAACAATATTGTAAGTACACTTAGCGCATTTCACCATAAGTTGGCTTTCTCAAAAGTATTTACCTTTAAAGCAGCATTGACAGAGCTGACCTTTTGTTTCTCTGTTCCTCTTAGGATGCCGCTGTGGTTCTCACTATGTTTCCGTGAGCAGGACCAGATCCTGGCATGAGTTGCCGTAAATGCGTGCAGCCCGGGGCGAATTCAGCGGCAATGCTCCCCAGAATCCTTCTATTTGGTCACGGAGATACAACAATGGACAGTCTGCGTTCTCACTTGTTGGACTGTGACCCCAGACCTCTCCCATCCCTTTCTTACCTCGGAGGGTAGGAAGATTTGGAGTCTGCATAAATATGTACCTTGGTTGACCCTTTACCTTTTGGACAGCACTTCCTTGTAGAGCTGGTCAGGTATTTCTGAGCAGATCTTGCAGGGATGTGAGAGTCGGCCAGTAGATCGCAGGCTTTGAGGGAATGATTGCCAGGATAAAGACTGATTACTGCGCGGTTCCTTGTTTGTCATTGTATGAAGTGGAGCAGTTTGTTACAGGGTAATACTATGACAGATGCAGCAATACCCCCTGTACCACAAGATTATTATTATTTTTAACATTATCCAGGGACCTTGTAGGTTTTAAGGCCATGATTTGTGAGTTTGAAAGCTCTATATTTCCAGTCTTAATTTTCTGTTTTTCTGCAGAGCCGGCAAATTTTGGTGACCGTGCTAAAAGGAGAAATTAGCCGCACGTCGAGACTGCCATTTTAGTTTAGAGACTGTACCCATTTTGGTTCTCTTGTATTGAGTTTAGGTCATGTTGAGTTCCAACGCTGGGACTGAGCTCAGGAGAACATGCATATATAGACCAGTTATCCCATGTGAATGTTTGTTTGTTTTGCCTTTTGGTTAATGGACAATCCATGTAATGGGCACATTCAGATACCTAGAGTCACCCTTTCCCTACCAGGCAGGACAGCAACTTTGTAATCTACTCCTGGCCCCTTTTAACCTGCCCAGCATAGGACATCCGTTATACTGCTCCCAGGGTGGAGGGTGTGACCACGTGGTTTTCACCCGATCTCTAATCACATTCAAGCTACCTCGGTAACTGGCTCTGCTGCAGCGTGGGAGCCCGGCCGCTGCATTCTCTGCTTCTTAGTCTACGGCTGCGAGTTTGGAATAGACTTTCCTGGGGGGAAGACAGTGTTTCAGTGTTTTTATTTTTTATTATTTCCTTGTGTAAGCTCATGGGGTCATTAAGTCTGCAAGTTTGGGCTGTGGTACACTGTGCTATCATTGACTAGCCCTTCCAGTGATACAGGGTACAGCAGTTCCCCCGACACGGTCTATATATTGATCCAGTCGCCTCGGAGATGGAGAGGTCTACAAACCCTTCATTTTAATAAACCCTTTCCACTGTCTGGGTGGTAAAGTGGAAACTCATATATTACAATATGGGCGCTTCATGTGCAACCTTAACCCTCCGAGGGTCTGCATACCAGGGCAGGGCATTCCTGTCTTACCTTCCCTTTGATTCCCAGTAACGATGGGCCCTTGCGGGGCATAGAGTGTTAGGTACACATTGCCCCAAACAGTACTGTCTCCCACCTCTTGGAATCCAGTCTATAAATACCTCTGTTAAGCAGTGTGGACTCCAGACTCTTTATTTCAATGTGTTGGAGTAATTGTGCGTGTTTGTGCATGGTGTGTGCTTTGTGTATATGTGTTGATATGCCTCCACGATTATCGTAGTCCAGTTACAGGATGAAGCTTCGCTAATGAGGAAGGATAACCACACTGGTTTTACGGGAACCAATAGAGCAGTGCTCGCCTGTCATTCGCTAGCTTCCACTTCCCACGATGCCTAACAAGCCCAATGGCTTCATAGCACAGAAAAGATTCATTCAGTAGGTTCGGAATCACAAATTGACCATGGAAATTAATATTATAGGCCAAACAAATTGATTGAACTTGAAAAAATAGCTGCAAAGTGCTTCAAATGTGTCTATCTTTACCTGAAATTTGCAAATTGCCCCTATCCGTTCCCTTATCGAATGAACTCCACTGTGGCCAATTGTCCCAGTATGTGACTGCTAGCGGCCTTTCATTACCATAAACATATTCTTCTGGTCTAGTGATGTGTAATCATCCACGCACTGTCTCTCTCTCTTTTTTTTTTTTATTCTTTACTTTTGTTGTGCAGTATGGGTTACAAACATGCCTGTTATGCCACGACAGCAGTCACAGGTACATCAACGTAAACATTGTCCTGACAAGATTAAGCTGCACCTTTTTATAAGTAGATATGAGGACTAATAAGTGAGTACATGCGATCAATGTTAAATGTATGGAAGCTGTAAAGTGTTAAATAACAGGCTTAATTAACTCATTGCTATCCAAGGCATAACAGTGTACAGTTAGTTTATGGCAGTTCATAGCCAAATAACAAAACCTCTTTTTTTTTTTTTTGTTATAAGAACAGGTAGGCACAGGCTCAGTCAGTGATATCTGGTTTTAAACCAGATAGGTGGCTTTCGGCAAAATAAGCGTTAATAAGATGTTGTTTACTGTTTGCTAGCTACAACAACATCTTTAGCAGAAGCAGGCTGTCAAACTTAGCTAGCTGGTGATTTAACTTCTGGCAGTATTAACAGGATGCAGCCCCCCATGCCGTGTATGGAGTAGTGATGTCCCGAACGGTTCGCCAGCGAATAGTTCCTGGCGAACATAGTGTGTTCGCGTTCGCCACGGATGGCGAACATATGCGATGTTCGGTCTGCCCCCTATTAATTTACTAATACTAAGTAAAAATTATTAGTATTAGTAAATTGTGCCCCTACTCGCAATACCGCGAGTAGGGGCATGTCTATTAAACAGTGACCCCGGTGGGGGCCCTAAATACTAATAGGGGGGGGCGACCTATTGTCCTCCCCCCGGCCCCCACCCCTGAGCGGTGGGTGGGGGCCCTAAAAATAACAATAAGGGGGGACCTATTGTCCCCCCCGGCCCCCACCCCTGAGCGGTGGGTGGGGGCCCTAAAATGAACAATAAGGGGGGACCTATTGTCCCCCCCTGCCCCCCGCACGGCGGATGGGGGCAATATTGATAATGAGGGGGGGGGACCTACTGCCCCCCCCCCGGCCCCCACCCCTGCGCGGCGGGTGGGGGCCATATTGATAATGAGGGGGGGACCTACTGCCCCCCACCCCTGCGCGGCGGGTGGGGGCCATATTGATAATGAGGGGGGGACCTACTGCCCACACCCCTGCGCGGCGGGTGGGGGCCATATTGATAATGAGGGGGGGACACCTAATGCCCCACCCCTGGGCGGCGGGTGGGGGCCATAAAGATAATGAGGGGGGGGACCTACTGTCCTCCAGCCCCCACCCCTGGGCTGCGGGTGGGGGCCCTAAGTAAATTTTCCCCCCCCTCCAGGTGACTAGGGGTCCCCAAGCCCCTAGTCACCCACCCCCCCCAAATAAAAAGTCCCTACCTACCCCCCTCACCCTAAAAAATAGTGAGGGGGGAATAAAATAACTAACCTGTAAAATAAAAGTAAAC